TGCATAGTTCAAAAGTGCAAATAAAAGCACTGAGTTCAAAACGGGATATGCAGTAAGGCCTGAATGGGGATTGCAATTGAATTTGTTAAGGTAATCTCATTGAGGAAAACATCTTCCCAATTGTCTAGGAAAGGCCTGTATGATGCAATTTGGCTCAAGCTTGCCTAGGAAATATAGTTGACTCCTGGTGTCATGAGAAATATTCATACACACTGGACAGTCTGCCTATATACCAGAGCCACTTCATGCTAACAGAGCTGTTTCACATCACTGATGGTTTCTGTATCAATTTAGTTAAGTTGATGCAAGAAGTTTCAGGAATAGTCTTTCTCCTTTAAAAATTCTTAAAATATGCCATTTTGAATTATTCAAATGAGACAGATAATATCAGTTAAATTAAAACAACCCACAGGTTTATGCCTGAATAATCTCATGTTTGATCAAAGAATACTTAAATCTACAACTAACTTTTCCTGACATCTCAGTGATGTCAAGCTGATTACATAATTCTTGACCCTCCTTGCCTTCCCTACTAAGTATAGACTTCATTAGGAGAACTAAATGACAAAATATTATTCTTGTTAATTACATTATTCTGCAAAGGAAAGAAAAATACATTCATACATGGAAAAGAATCCTCCAAACAAAATCAGAACATAAACCAGTAATTCACAGAAAAATACTTTCTCCATTGCACCTGTTCAGTTCTTTACTGTTAATGTTAGACATTTCTTTTAGAGGTATGATCCTTTTATCTATGAAATGACCTCTTCAGCAAATTTGGGACACCCCTTGTGAAGAAACAACTATTAATAACACTCTTATGCTTTGATTTTTTGTATGGATCACTTTCATAGCTTTACTACTGCCAGAAATCTCTGTGTTAACATACAGAACCTCCAAAACACCCATTAAATCTGTACTTAGACAATAAATGGTTTATTATTGTTTTAAAATTTTTAATATGTACCCACTGAAGACACGAGCTAAGACATCAGCCCTCTTTTAAAATAGCAAGTGAACTTTGGCTCAAATTATTTCTTGCCCTTATCTTCTTCAATGTCAAATTTCTTCTTTTGTTCATATCTCAGCCCTACTGGACAAATGGAAAAAAAGAGTAAGAGAGGGAAAAAATCCTTAAATATGCATTTTCTTTTTTTGTGTGTTTAATGATTCATGTACTGTTTACCAGAAAGAGCAAAAATAAAATCTAAATTTCTAAATCTGCATATTGAATGTGTATCCTAAGCCACTACTTACCAATGTCAGCTCTCATGATTTAGAATCCACTTGGAAGTAGTTGTTTTAATTTACCAATTCAAATAATCCTTTCCAACAATTCTGCAGTTCATCCAGAAATCTCCAGGAAGCCAGTCCTTAAGCTGAAAACTAGGAAGGAAGAGGCTGGAAAAGGACCCTGCACCTGCCACAGCCAACTGGTGACGACTCAGCCGTGAAGACGAGAACAGGAGTGTGTGCTGGGCGGGATGGCCAGTGGCTGCAGTCCACAGGGGAGTGTCACTGCTGCACTACTTTAGAGATGACCACAACAGTATGATTTGGCCCACAAAGGTTGGTTTATTTTCATCCAGTTCAGAGACATGAGAGGTGCATAGGAATAAGCTGCAGACGAGGAATAAAAGCACTCCAAAGGAGGTTGATTTACTCTAGAGGGAAGAAATCATCTTGTGAAATCCTAATTAAAGTTCTTGGTTTAATTGCAATTTTGCCCTAGGGTTTTGGCTGTTGAGAAGAATGAGCTATATAATTTGTTAGTTCTCTGACACTCAAGAACTATCAGTTCTTAGAAATCTGACTTTTTGCAGCAGTGATGCTAAGGAGACAGACACATTACTAACCTGGAGCACCACTTGCCTAGCAAGCAGGAGGTATATTATGGGGCTAAAAGCACATAGCACTGGCTAACATAACTAACTGCAGATTAAAGGTCGCTGTCAGGAAAGCACTTAGGTTCACCCTCAGCTTCCAGCATGGATGGCAGCTGCTCAGTGTCTTTGAGGGGTAGTCAGATATTGTATGTGTTCTTAGTGAGGTGGTCTCAGTCAGACACTGAATCTTATCAAGGTCAGAAGAGATGACCAGCAAGCAGCTTTACCTGTCTCTGGCCACTACAGGTAGAGAGCACAGGGACCATGTGGCTGTGCAGCTGCTGTTGCACTCCAGACTGACCTGAGAGGTTTCATGCTGGCTTTACATGACTTGTTTCCAACACACTCCACAAAAGCTGATGCCTGCAGGCATATGTGGTACTGGAAACAGACAGAGGTAAGGACATAATTTCCCAGAGCTGTCTGCAGGCATTACTCTTATTTCTGATCCATGAGACAGCTGGAACCAATGTAATAGGCCCTTGAGTAGGAGAAAAGCTGCTTACCATCTTTAAAGCAGTGGAGGACATCTATTCAAAGGAGCCCCCGCAAAAAAGACAGTGTTAAACTAAAGCTTAGAGCTCTGCCTATGCCCTTGTATGGCATCGTCTCAGGCTCTGGAAAGACGACAAGGGAGAGAAAAAGCACCTGGGGTCATCAGAGTAGGGCATACCTCACTCCAGGCATCTTGCAGAGGCAGTGAGTGACCCCATGCCCAGTCACAGAATTCTTGCCAGTAGCTTGGTACCTCTGCCTCACTGCAAACTCATTTTAAGAATGTGTCTGGACTGGTGCCAGAGCATTCAACACCTCACAGAACTGCGCTCTCTCTGCATTAAAAAAATAATTCAGCTTTTTTGTGGTTGCTGGAAACATCAATGGGAAATCCAGGACACAGGTCAATGGGGAAGACATGGTTGTAAGACAGGTCTGTCAAGAAAGCCTTTCTAGGAGAGTAGACCCCAGTGGAGCTGCAGGTGTGACATCTGGGCAGCCCCTTCTGCCCATGCAACAAGCAGGGTGCTGCAAGGCCATAGAGCTGGATGGCAGCACTGGCTTCCTGCTCCCAGCCCTGAGCTCCCGATGCTGTGGGAGGAGAGGAAGGGATGAGCTGCATTGGCTCTCCACAGCCTTCCAAGGCAAGAGGCGACTGGGGCTGTGGATTATGGTGTTGGTGCTATAGACAAACATTCATTAATGATTAAAAATCTTCATTAAACTTCATTAAATCTACTGAACTCATGAGGCTATGATAATGTAAAGAAGCAGCAAAAAAGCCACTCTTTCAAAAGCTTTGTTTTTACCACCCTGCTCATAGTCATGGTTTCAACTGTGAGCACTTTGAAGGAGTCAGTAAAATACAGACAGTTAATAGTCACAGTGAATATTTGCTGTTTAGATCAATGCTCATCTTCTTCAGTCATTTGTCAGGATTACTCTGATCCCACAAATCCCCATGCTTTTGCTGCAGGGCAAAAGGCTGAATGATCTCTACCTTTTTTTGTTTAGGGCTACCACAGAGATTTAACATGCTTGGTGAGTTCGATATGCGATACTCCCACTGCCCTGTGCTGGAAACGGCAGTGGAGCTCACCTGCTCAGCTGTAGCTGCTAAGGAGAAGTGTGTCAGCCTCCCAGCCACACTGACAACCGTTTTCTTTTTCTGCCCAATTTGGAACTGACCATCCACGCTCTTGTGTAAAGACTGAAATCTGGGTCAGTCAACCTGATGTATGACAACAGAGCGTAACATGTGCCCAGAGCTGTAACTGACCCGCACAACTGCCTGCAGAGAACTTGTCTCTCTGCTTCCCACTCTGCCTCAGCACCATTTCACCCTTTGGCCCTGGGTAACCCATCATCTCCTTCCACAACACAGAGGATGTTCACCCACTCACCAACCATACATATGAAATAGTAGGAAATCATGCAGCTTAGTAAAACTGTAGGGAAAAAAAAGTCTTTGAGAAGGAGACAATGTCAAACCTTTGCCACAGTGACAGACGACTCAACCTGATTTTAGCAAAGACATTGTTTTTCCATCATACTTGGTATATAAAAATATAGATTTTGAGTTACTGCATATACACAGATGAAAGAAGGAAAGAGCTTTATGAAGGGACACTAACCTACCTGACAGCAGAAGCTATTTTTAAATTTACACAGATAAACGTACAAATAAAAGACCCAGACTTCTGCTCATCTTCCTCTCCTCAATATTTATTATCCTCTACCTAAAAAAATAATTTCCATTTTCCATTTCCCTGAATCTGAGTTAATGACTCCAGCTTTTTTATAATTCCACATATTTTGTACACAATACACAGACACTGTTTCCTGAACTAATCTGCTTGTCAGATAGCTTGTCTTCAAACAATTAGCTACATCAGGATTTCTCCGTAGCAAATCAATAGCTTTGGCTCAGCCAGATATAAGCTTTAGCATGTTGACACGCCTCTCAAAATAAATCACAAAAAATGGCAAGTGGCTGTTACAGTAAGCTGCTTGAAAACAAATTACAGTTGCCATACCATGTAGCCCTTTGATTCTGATTTAGTTTATCCTTTACCCTTTCACTATATTCCCCCAAAATAGAATGAGACAGACATGCTCCATTTACTTGTCTTTGGTAAGCTGTAATTACTTGAGAAGCTCCTTTGAAGTTGCTACTTATCAATGTGAGGAAGATTGGAAAAGTCCAGCCCAGCCCCAAGGTAAACAAGCTTAAAAAATTAAAGGGGCACATATAATAGAAAAAGAAAAAGCTAATAGAAAAAAAAATGCTCATTACAATACATGCTTTTTGCAACCTATATTGCATAACAAGTCCAGGTCAGTTTTACCAGACTCATAAACTTTGACTGTAATACATGCAAGAAAGAAAGCAGTATAATACAGACAAGGGCCAAGTCTGGGTAAAATGTGTTGTCTGAATTTAGAGTAAGTAAAGTCTTTTATATTTTCATGAGTTTGTCCAAATTCTGCATTTCCTCTTTTAAGAAAAAACTTTAGGATCAAATTTAATAAGGCTCTGGAAACTGTGTGCCAATGCAAAAAAAAATTGAAAAATTTCCCTGGTTTCACAATTATCTTTGAAGAGAAGTCACTTACCCCTAAGATGAAGCAGAAGCCCTGGTGACTGGCAGATTTGTTTACCACATGTGATGCCAAGCATACAGTAAGCAGCAGAGGTTAAGACAATTGGTTATAATTAGTCCAGATATCACAGCTTAAAAAGTTACTGCTGATTTGTATGTCCTCATACTTGGCAACTTTCATTTTTTGACTGAGGCAACTGCAAAGGCAGCTACCTGTTTTCATTACATTAAACATTTATAAACAAATACAAATATATTTCACAAGTAATTTCATGATTATGTTTTGAATAAAATTATTACAATGCCCCTCATTTAATGTTTTCAAGCAATTATTTGCAAATATGTTATCAGTTGAAAGCCAGAAACATTTACCCAGTGCTGCTAGGTGTTCTGGCGGCAGATTGAATCCTTTTGTACCAAGCAGTCCAAGAAAAATAATGAATTTTTTCCTGTAGTGATTTTACGTTAAGATTTCATAAGTTTTTGAAAGGAATTGCAGGAAGTCTGGACATTTTTCTCCTTAGCTATAAGCTGTTTCTGTGCACACTTCAGAAGAGCTGAGTTATCAGCATGACTGGGTGTTGCATAGGGGTCAGCCCCTGCCTCTGCAGAGTCAGCTGTGTGCACTGAGAGTGTCTCTAAACATGCACAAGAAATTGCTGTGTGTGGACCAGAGAATAAAACAGAGGCTCAGCTTGCATTAAAAACATTCACAATAATGACAAGCTGTTTGCTCTTCCTGAACGAGCTATCACCATTGCATGGCCCATACAGAGAGGAGGCGCAGTTCAAGGACTGACAAAACATACCTTTTTTTAAAACATTTTATCTCTTTTTATTTGTTTGTCCTGATGGTTTGCTACAGGCAAAGGAGGTATTCAGAAATGGAACTGCACGATACAAACACAGGCAGCAAACTAAGCTGGCGGCATGAAAGGTGTATCTGAGAACACAGAGTTGACAGAGTCAGAGTCGGATTTTGTTCGAGTAGTTTTTAAGATACTCTCTGTAATGACACTGTCATTGGGGAACAGTTTTACTTTCCCATTCTGACTCTGTTTTGGTTCGTGCACGGGTTCCAGGAAAACCACCCGTTTCCCAGTGCTAGCCTTCTTCTCGTCGGCTGGCAGCTCTTGCGGCAGTGCGGAATTCAGTATGGATGGGTGGGCACTGCTTTGGTTCAGCTTCCTCTTCTTCTTTTTTGCCTTACATTGACACGGGCAGGGGGTCAGATAGAGATACAGCAGCACTAAAATAATACTGGCCACACAGGCAGCAAGGGTGGTAAAAGCTGTATTAAATGCTTCATGAGCGTGGGACCTGTTCACTGTGAAATTGCTAACATTTATTCTGACCTCTATGGTTTCATTTAGTAGTCTTTTCTTATTTATTGCAATGCAGGAATACAGCCCTGAGTTCTCTAGCTGGGCATCTGTTATCTCCAGGCTGCCATTAGGAAACACCTTGAAGTTATCGGTGTCCCTGTCTGGCTCCAGCAGTCGATTGTCTGGACTAACCCAAACAAACTGTGTGCCTGTATCGCTGATTCTGCTGTCACAGTGTACAATCAGCCTGTCACCAACCTGGGCATCATGAATAAACCCAAAGGCTTGGAAAGAGCTGTTGACGGTACTCTCAGAGCAATTCATAACATTGTCGTGCAGGAAAGGCAGTTCATTATGACCTCTTGGGTCTGACTGCAACAAACAGCTGTACTCATTTTTGAAGTCCACCACTGAGCTGAAATGCCTTTGATACCAGAAAACTAGCATGGAGTACAGGACACAGTCACAATAGAATGGGTTGCCATGAAGATAAATTCCACTAAGTTGTTTGGCTGGCACTGAACTCAGGCGCTGAACAGGCATCGTCTGGATGTGATTAAAGGAAATGTCCAGCAACACAAGGTCTGTCAGTTTATGTTTTCCAACATATAAGTCCAGTGGGAAATGCGAGACCAAGTTGTAGCTTAGGTACAGTTTCTGTAATTTGTACAATCCTCCAAAGGCTAAGGACTCAATCTGTGCTATTTGATTGTTGTACAGCAGAAGAACCTCCAGCTCCTTTAGCTCCTGAAACACAGGGCTGCCCAGTGTTTTCAGGCTGTTGGATGACAAGTCTAGATACTTCAGATTCGGGGTTGTGGAAAAGCTTCCAGTGCTAATGCTGCTAATGCTATTATGATTGACTATTAAAGTGTTCAGTTTCTCAGACAGCACTGGGACCCATTCAGACTCCAAAATCCCAATTCTGTTATAACTCAGATCCAGCCTTTTCATACATTTATAAAGATTTCCTGGCACTCGAGTGAGGTTCTTATTAGTGCAGCTTACGATATCACTGGCACAGATGCAGGCTGCTGGACACATCCCCGGGGCACTGCCACAAACACTCATGGTGAAGACCAAGAGGCATGCGAGTCCTTTGCAGTTTGCTTTGAAAACTCCAAGTCGAGTAGGAAGTGTCTGCCAGTTTAAAGACATTGTCACTGTCTTTTAGCTGTCTCCCAGTGCTCCTTGTCACAGATCACTTGTGCAGTTAGCTTTGCACTCCTTGCTGTCAAAAAAGGGATACAGAGGTACAGCATGTTAACATTTACCATTCATACTCTGCATGATTTCTTATGCCTTTTGAAAAATACAGGGAGTTAATCCTTAGGGTTTCATACAATTAATGGTATAATCTAGTTCCACGGTGATGTAAACTTATCATTGTTTTATGTAAACACGAAATTCTGCATTCATGTGTAAATATACTTTAGATACAGTATTTTTTGTCTTCAAAAAGAATGCAACTATTCTTCAGTCTTTGACAATGTAAAGCAATTTCTGACAGTTCATTTAAAAAAAAAATTGGAAATGTTCCTCTGTGGAGCATGACTTGGCAATGGCATCCCCTACCTGTTTCCAAACCAATACAGATAGAATTCCCAGCAGAAGAAAGAAAAAGCTGTATCCTAAAATGTTTCTTTTCTTGTCAAGTGGGAAGCAGTTACAACATGCTTTTCTTTATAATCAGAAAATGTCACACATTTTCAAGCAAAGAATTTTCTCAGCCTTTCTAGCTTTAAATGTCATATGAATTTCTTTCCTACTTTTTTTTTTTTAATTTAGTAACCTATGCTTCAGGTAGCAACAGCCTATTTTGAAAGTTATTAAAGTTGTTCAATAACAATATTTTGTATTCTGCTTCTTCTACCTTGGCCATATAAGTAACGAAGAAGAAATCTACTAAGTGCTTACCTCAGGCACAAGTTTTGGGACCATTCAATAAGGATGAGTCAGCTCCTTCTCAAAACATAGTAAAGAAAGCAATATTTTGCTTGTATGTAGATAGAAAAACCCCAACCATAATATTTTCGGAGAATATTTAGAGTCAGTATTGTTTGAAACAGGGATGTAAGATTTGGCACAGTAGAGATTCTGTGCTAAGGGATAAGCTTTTTACCATCTTCTGTACACATATAGCAGAGCAATAAACATTTTTGTTGATTCTTGCTCTTCCTAGTACCTGTTTAGAGTTTTTCAGTAAATTCACAGGTGAGTTCATCTGCATTGATTATCATCAACCCTTCAGAGTTCAGATGTGCTATTCAGCCCCCACATTATTGTCCTCAAACTCATTTCTCCAATCTCACCCACAGGGTGGAGCAGTATCTGAGCAGGGCAAACCCTGCAATGCCTGCTCTGCGCTGCTGATAGTGGCTATGGCCAGGAGCCTGTGGACAGTGGGATGAGGAGAAAGAAGCAGCCTCAGATGGAAAGGAGGAGAATAAAAGAAGAAATTGCATTCTCTGTTGATGCAAGATGGATGAAGAAAAGATGAGCCTTGAGTGCAAAAAAATTAAAATCAAGACCTACATGGTGGAGGGCAGCAGGGCAAAGGGATGGTGAAGAAGGGGAGAGAGAGAAGGGTAAGAGACACATAGGGAAGGAAAAGCAAAACCAGGGGAGGTGGATGCTACTGGAGCATCATCACTGTTACTAAAGAAACTGAGGAGGAGGCAGTCTGAGGATGCAGAAGTCAGTTAAGGCATACGAGACTGGAAAAGCAGATGAGAGGGTGTAAAGAGAAAGAAGAGGTCTAAGCAGAAGACAAACAAGAGTTTCAGGAGGTAAGCCTTATAGCACACCTCTCCAGAGAATTTACATCTGCTACTTAAGAACCTAAGACTACCGATGCAGTTAATTAATATATGCTAAAAGCAAAAAATTTCACTCCTCCTCAGTTCTTTATTCCCGTCTTCTGTAACCCTCTGCCAATCTGTCAGGCTGCTGTCTTCTGTTGACAAATCTACTCTTAAGTCAAGTGGTAGAAGATGTGCTATGAAACTAAAGAGCTCAACTTTCTAACGACCCATTAAAAGAAGAAATATGAAGGCAGCATGGGAGAATGGGACATATTTTTCACAAGAACTTATATATACATTGGCTTTGTTTGCACAAAAAAAAAAGGAAAAACATGAAGAGAATTGAAGACTGCCAAATCAAATGTTCGAAACTAAAGTGTCCGAATTACATTTTTCTTTCCATTTTAGATTTTATATACAGTCCTTCGTTACAGGATTGTTCAATTTTCCCCAAACCTTTCTTGACACTGTGCATAGGTTCTGAGGAAGAACAGGGAAAAGAATGGTTGATTACATCAAGAGCTTGATAAATCCTTATCCCTGAGAACTGCAGTTGTCCTAGCCCTTGCCACAAAATTCCTGAGTGATCAGGCAAACTATGTGAACTGGTGGCTATTACAAAATAATGAACATATTACAGCCACAATCTTGGCACTTATAAAATAACGAACCTCTGCATGTTAAATTTGGGAAGGACTGATCTGAGGAACTGCTGAGCTGAGAGTCAAAATGCTGTGACTCTATCTGGCACAGGGATTCCTTGTTTATACAAGGGATAACATGATTTTAGCTATAGAAATATTGTAAAAATAAATTGATTGGTTTGAATTAAAGTTTAATATTCATAAATTCTTCTAGGCTTTTAAAGTTTCCTGAAGCCTCTAACTGCATTGGGTTTTCAATGGAAAGTTAGGAATCCTGAAGATT